ATTCATGCCAGGCCAGTAGTTGGCGATGTTACTTTGTAAAGAAACACTATAGACTGAATAGGTAATACACATGCGCATGACGTCACCATTTCACATATTCGCATTTTTGTTGTTTACATGTCTTTAGTAAATCCTGTCCCCGTTAGTCAATCTGGCCCTAAGTCTTTGTCTTATTCTACAACTTTCGAATACTTTAGTTGAGAATCAAACGTTGTGATTCATGTCAAACTCTTTACTGAAGATACGTGCATGGTCACTGTTGTGTTTTACTTGATCTTGGAAGAATTTGATGAGAAATTATTAAGTTAAAATTAAATTAAAATCTTGAGAAATCTGAGCACAATTTGAGATACTGTTGAGATCTCTTTTGAGAAGACTTAAGACAAGCAGGAGTGTTTGATCTCTAATTAGATCTCATTGCTGAGGACTAATTGAGATATTAGAGAGATTGCATTTGTGATTTCTCCTTGTGTGTGAGAGTTGTTTGGGAGAAAGAGAGGGAAACACCATGTGTTGTGCTCTTAATGCTTTTAATGCTTGATTGGATGTCCGCCTGCTGTGGGAACTGCTGGACAGGACACATGAGACTGTGGTAAAAACACGTGGCACTTCTCATGAAACCTTTCAACAACACGTCCTGGTCAGATTTGACAATTCTCACACGGTGATGTCAAACAATTTCCAACCACTAGATCATCACTGGTTTTCGCATGAGGGAAGGAGTGGCCTCATGCAGACTAGATTCATATTTTATCATGGCTTTGTTTCAGAACTGACGAGTTGATTAAATGTTTTGTAGTGCTCAACTCCTCTGCATGTAAATCTGTCCTTGGCTGTTGGCTTAAGGGAAATTCACATGACTTCCCAATGTCATTATTTGGTGAGAGTTTGGGCTGGACGCTAGTGAACACACCCTGAAGGGAAGGGGGGTGGTCTGTGTGACTGAAGAAAGGGGTCTTATTGAGCTCATGCCACATTAAAGACACATGTGACACTGCCTGCTACTCAGACCAGAACGGCTTGAGATAAGAAGGAAGTTATTAACACTGTTTGATCTGAATTAAATCTGCAGATTCACTTAAACAGTTCATGTTCTGCTTTTTTAGATCAAAGCCCTCTTACATACTTTGGGAAAATCTGGTAATATTAGTTATGTTTTTTCATTTGGCACATACAAATACAAACACTGCCTTTGATTGGATATTGCTTTTATAAAATGCTGGATCATATTTTTAGATTCATATATTTAATCATGTAAAAATATGAATGTTGAATTAATGTAATAATGATACACTTTTAAAATGAAGGTTCTTTATTGGAATCAATGGTTCCATTAAGAACCTTTAACATCCATGGAATCTTTCCATTGAACAAAGGGTTCTTTAAGGTTCATGAAACCCCAAACCAAATTTTCTGAGATTTTATCAGAGGTATATGTGTTGAACACCATTGAAGACAATGTTAGCATCAGTTAGATTTAATAGCAGGGTTAAAATGGTTAAATTTGATTTTTTTTCCGCTTTTTTTGTCTTCCGGGTTTAAAATCTTCATCGTGTCCACGTCACAGGCTGTGACGTGGCAGTGCACTGTGAGTGCGTTGATGACTCATCGGTGTCTCATAATTATTAATGAGACTGAGTTTTCATATCCTATGAGAAGACACTGTCTCTTAATTATTCATGACACCACGTGGATCTTTCAGTGACATGTCAAACTGTGATATCGCGTAGTAGAGATGAGAGAGGCAATCATGGGACGCACGCAAGTGTTTGTTTTCGTGGTGCAAAAGTCCAATTGGGTTGAATATGTTTCCCCGCGATGCTGCCCGGGCTAGACGCTGGCTCTGGGCGGTTGGTTTTCCATCAACCACGGACACATCTAAACGTGTGTGCCGCAAACATTTTTCTCGAGAGAGCTTCGAGAATTGGAGAATGGTTGACTTCGCCTTGTTGACAACCAATGCAGGTTGCGTCTTGCGAGTGATGCGGTACCAAGTCCCGAGGACTTTTCTATCCCTTCAGAGGTGTGTGTGTGTGTGTGTGTGTCTAAAATGAGACGTCATCCACCTCCACAGAGCCATCTTTATTATGGGGGCTCAGGGGGCGCGTAGATCTAGCTATGCACATAACGTTTTTTTTTAAGCGGAAAATTAATAATTTTCAAATATATGTATTTATAGTGTCTATATAAACAACTATATATTTATAATAACATTATAATTATACATGTAGCCTACATTAATATGTTCTCAATAGAATTATGATTACTGTAGGCTAATATAGCAGGGCATTCAGTTACTTTTGAAAGGACAATAATAAAGTGTCGTATTTCATAAGACTTTAACTTTGCCAGCTATAAAAAAAATCTAGCATTTCCTCACGTTTTACCACTGCTTTTAGTGACAGTCGATATGCATGGGATACTGGCGATGACAGTGATGGCCTTACCACACCCCTTCTCATAGCCATCCACGTCCATTTAAGTTGCATTTTTTTAAAAAGATTGTGAGCTAGACTTGAGCTGAAAGAGGGGGGTTTCATGACCCTTTAAAGTGGAAAAAGGTTTATTAGAAGTTCTTCACACTAAGAAAAAAAAATGGTTCTTTTAATAACTATACATTGAAAGCTTCTTTGGGGAGCCAAAAATGGTTCTTCTGAAGTGGAGTGTAAATTATTTATTTTTTTATAATATTGTTCCCATTAAAGTATTTGCTCAGGTATATTTATTTGCTCATAAAGAAATTTTGCTTAAAAGTGTATTAGAATCCCAGTTCTAATGATGTAATATAGATTTTGTTCCATCCAGTGATAAAACAAGAATAGGTTTACTTTTTGTGGCTATGAACACACCATCACCTGAAATAGCACATGACTTTGAGCTGAAAATAAAGTTATTTCAAAACAAATTCCTCTTTTCTAGGCAGTCCAGTAAAAATAACATCACTATGCTGCACTCCCACTAGTTTATTATGCTTTTCCATTTATGGCAGGTTATATTACCGTTATTTTCTTTACAGGTCTCTGATTAGCCTTTTCAGGAACACCAACTTTCAAACAACAGCAAACAACTGAAATTGCTCAGGCATGCACACTCGCCTCTAAAACATAAATGCTGAGCAAAGAAACAGAATTCCTGCAATGGCCTCTGTTTACCAGCACTATAACTGTTTGCCTCAGTAAAACTGCACTCTAGACAGGAGTCTAGCACTTACTAGCAATAACACTTTCACGTTTTAGTATCTTGTATGGATGCAGTAGTTTTGTTGTTAAAGGTTTGCTAAAGTTTGCTCGGATACTGTTTACTTGCTTTGGTTTGTGGCATCCTGTGGTTTCCAAACTTGGAACAAATATCAGCTGAAGATTTTCGGTTGGAACAGCATACCAAATTTGATGCCAATGTTCAACAAGAAAGCATAAAATAGAAACTTGCATACACTAATAACATTAAAGAAAAATGTAGAACATATTTTAGCAAGCTTGTCATTCCTCAAAAAATATTTGAAAATGCCCTAAGACAAAAAATAAATAAAGCTCTGTCAGATTTTTCATTTAAAAAGGACTGTCCCATCTGGTGAATGAGTAGCAATGAAAGCAAAGCTCAGTGTAATAAGTGGTATTTTCCCCTGAGGAGACTTTACTGTGCTTCATTCTGCAAATGCATCTCAACAATCTCCCTCAGGGTTACTAGACCACTTATAGGTATCAGTACCAGATCCATGCAAAAGAAAACCCCTTGCAATTATTCCTCAGAAAATAAAGAGTGTCTACATAGTCTAGACATCGTGTTTTCTTTTGGTAAATAACTAGGATCTATTACCCACTCACACCCATTAGACATAGAGATGGAGGGGTATAACGAAAACTAGGGCATGCAAAACCTTTCCTTTTATGTTTTTCTGTAGTGTTTTCTTCAAATTAGCCTGTGTTTGGTTTGTTTCTCATGAGTTGAGCTGAGCATAAATCATTACAACCTTGCTTATCTTGTGATGTTCTTGTACCTTATGAAAGGTCATGGGTTTGATACGCAGGAAAACAGATGTAAGTTGCTTTGGATGAATGCTCTGCCAAATGCATAAACTAAAATCCTTCAGGCATACAGAAGAAATTGAAACAGAAAATATATGTACTTTATGTTCTATTGCAGGTCAATGGTATTTTCCATCCAAAAAGATATGCATGAATTCCTATCATTTGATGTGGGTGTGTTAAGGTGAAAGTCCCATGTTTTCCTCTCACTTGAGACTTGTGCAACTCCATTATACCACTGAGTAGACCAAGAGAAGGGACCTTCAATTATTAATACTCAGGATCAGATAGCAGAGGTCAGAGTTCAACAAACCCATTATCTTCCACATCTTATCACAGTCCACCTATATTATGCATGATGGCCACATCATCATCACAACCTTTAGGATGTTGTATTGGTCTCTGATGTTCAGACAGTTGGTGGTGTAGCAACCAATATAATTGAGGTTCCCTTAGTTTTGGACATTTCTGATAATCTGCACACAAAAACAACTGAACAGTATTCTGCAGATAAATAAACCAAGTACTTTTGGTTTGGGGAAGGGGTCCATCTATGCACATATTTGGCCATTGCATCCTACGTTATTTTCAACGTTGCATTTTTGCATGCAAAGACACAGATTCTACATCATCAAGAGCTGTTCACTTCTGCGATTTCTCTTATATCAGCAGCAAGAGTTCACAGAAACTGCGCTACAGAACACCTTCTTAAGTAGACTCAAGTGCGATTTACATGTGTGCACCCAACTTCAGAAATAGTGTTCAGGTCATCAAACAAACCCAATGTATTACTGTGTAGTTGCTGAATTTCAAAGGTGTGAAATGCCTGAAAGTTAGAAAAAAAGTTATGTCATGCAATTATGTATTTTCATGAGCGACCATAATGCCCATCCCTGATGCAGTGTATAATGTGAAGAAGAAGAATTGCATGAATGCATGTTAGAACTAATGTGATCTCTGTCTTTATTTCCCTAGAAGTCCCCTGAACTCTCAGAGGATGACAGTGAGCTGAAAAGAGAGAGAAGCCTGAAGACTGTAAGTTTTTTCGATTCAGTGAGTGTGATATCTGCTGGTGAGAGCAGTATGGAGCTTGAAGTTCAGACTGAGACCCAGCAAAGTTATGTGAGAAGTGGGCAGAACAGCGTGAGACACGGGGGAGAAGGACTGGACAGCGAAGTAGCCAAGGAAATCCTGTACCTGGATCAGGTCCTTGAGGCCAACTGCTGTGACCCCAGGGCCGAAATGACTTCAAATGGGACAAGTTCCCCAGAGATTATCTCAATTAGAGGTCATGGAACTGGACCTTCTGTGCAAACCTGTGACACATCACCCTTACACAACCATGAAGTTGTTTTAGAAGGCAAAAAACAGACCACTTTTGTTGATGATAACTTTAACACTAAACCCAATGGTCATGCAGCGATGATAGGAAACGACTGTACAAGGTCACCAGAGTCCCCTAGGACAGCAATCAAGAAAGAGGCACGTTTTGAGCTCCGACCATTTCATGAAGAGAAGAAACCATCAAAACTATTTGACAACCCAACTGAGAAAGAAGTCCGGGTGAAGAAAGTCAGACCCACGGAGGAGATTGCAGAGCTAGAGAGGGAAAGGCTGGAACTCATTCGGGGTCAGGCAGTCAAGAAAAATCCTGGAATTGCAGCGAAATGGTGGAATCCACCTCAGGAAAAGGCACTGGAAGAGGAGCTGGAGCCAGAGCAGCTGGAGTCTCTTCGAAGATATGAGGAGAGGAAGCAGAGGAGGCCAGAAACCAACCGTATGCCACAAGCTGCACCCAGACAGACAATCTCCTTCATCCAACCTGAAACAGGAAACAAGGAGGATGTTGTCATGGAAGAGATTGACTTTTCTGCAGCACGCAAGCAATTTCTGCAGATGGATCATAGCAAGCAGCCCACAGCCCCTAAGAGGAACGTGGCACCGCAGCTTTACTCTGCCAAACCTTTCTTCAGGACTCCCGAGGTCACGCATGTAGAGAAGCCATGCGGTTCTGTCACAGTTGCCAATCAAGAAGGGGTCACATTCTATGACGGAAGTGAAGTTAAAGCTGAAAAGATTTACTGTTGCTCGGGAGAATCTGTCATACCACCCAAAAATGGTTTGGCTCAGAACGAGTTTAAAGATGATGATTTTACTTGTGCCCGGGCAGTGATGACCATTGTGAAGGAAGAGGATTCTGATTTGTGTCAACGTTCTTTGAACAGCTCCTACCATACGGAAGAAATTGACTCCGGGTTAGATGACCTATCCCTGCGGTCTCAGGACACCACTGTACTCGAGACGCTCTCCAATGACTTCAGTATGGACAACATAAGTGACAGTGGTGCATCAAATGAGACCATGAGTGTCTATTTGGAAAACTCTCTTGGGGAGTACTCTTTTCCCTCAACTCCAATGGCCACTACACCAATCAATGGGAAACATGAAAGTGGTATCAAATCTCCTGGTGAACAGAGTGGGTCTTATCACGGAGAAAGCTTGACGGAAGAAGAGCTGGAATACCATGCTGGTATTCTAGTCCAAAATGCTATCCAGCAAGCCATTGCTCAGCAGAATGACAAATGGGAGCCTCTTCAGGCCACACAACATTCGTCCCCTATCCCCGAGAGACATGTGGAAAGCATTCAACCCCAACCCCTAGTGGAGAGATCTACCGTCACACCACCTCCCAAAGTGCCATCCCTTCCAGAGGAGACGAGAACAATTGCTCCTCAAATAACTGTAGTTCAAGCCGCCCCAGTTATCCCAGTGAACACTTACAAACCCCCCAGTCCCTCTCCACCACCAGCGGAGAAACCAGAATTCAGCTATTTCAGTAAGTACTCTGAGGCAGCAGAGCTCAGGAGCACAGCGGCTGTCACTCGTGCTCAGGACACAGAAGTCACCTCAGGGCCGTTCAAGCTGCGCTCACGAAAACAGAGAACCCTGTCCATGATCGAAGAGGAGATCCGGGCAGCCCAGGAGCGCGAGGAAGAGCTGAAGAGACAACGACAGGCGAGACAAACATTGCACCCGCCCCGTTCGCAGAAGCTGAAGGCCAGCAACCAGCCAAACAAGCTGGTCCTTACTGGGAAGACAGCACCAGGTATGAGTATATCCAGCCAATGTGTGCAATCATAGCAGCAATAATTGAACACTTACTGTAAGTCAATAGGTGCAGAACTTTATTTGAGGACTTTTATTTGAAGGGTAACTTATCCCAAAATGAATAGCCCTTTAGTATAAACCATACAAGATACAAATTGGTACTCATAATCATATTTAAGCTGCTCTTTGTGCAGTTTTTCATGGATTACACCAGAACTTAATTAATCGTCTGATGGTAAATGTGTTGACGCCTGTTTCACAGGTTCACACTTACAAATAAGTCAGATAGAATAAATGGCTGTGGTGGGAACAAGCCAAGAGTGAGGAGTCGGGCTGGTGGTGGGACGCTGAAAACTGTCGAGGAACGTAGGCGAGTCGACTGTGTGTGTATAGGCTTCCTCTCATGCTGATAGGATTAGACGTGATAATTGCTGATGACATGTTGATTGGATAGATCATTTGAACGTGCTCCTCCCGAACTTTGTTAATGAAACATAATTTCAAGAAATGTGTGACTAGTAATGCAAACCATCAGCTAAAACTGAAGGCTGACATATATTTGGCTCTGTAACTCAAGATTTGATGTTAATTACCTGGTGATTGTCAGTCATATCACTGGGATCCTGGAGCTTCTCTTCATAGAGCTACTTTAGTTTACATTCCTTGCACGCTGTGTCCTGTGGGTCTGCACCCGCTGTTCAGCCTCAGTCACTTTTGCAAGCTGTGCTTTTTGAAGAGGGCTTTAAGAAAACTGCAGCACAGTGCCTGATTTGTTTTTCACTGTATGAGCTTGATGACTGATGACTACTCTGAACAATTGACTAGATAATGCTATATGGGTAACATAAATATATGTAAAAGCTTTCAGTTCTAGCAACCACCAACAGTTTCAAATTATGTTGGTTTGATGTTAAAAATTATTATAACAGACTATAGCAGTACGTACTTTAAATGTTCTGTTTACGTATGTTTGGTTTTGGTGATGTAACACTCATCCGCACAGTATTTAATGGCAGCGTGTGCTTTTCCTTTTGACAACAATGTCTTATTCATGATGATGTCCTGTACTTGAGAAGTTTATGTCTGCCCTCTAGTGGTGTCATTGGGAATGCATGAGTCCTTTCTTTTAGCTTGCTTTTATAATGCTAAATCCCATAGTATTGGAATTGATCTTGTGCGATCAGTATTGGTTAATGACCTCTCATTAATGACAGTATTTCTGAGAGGACAAATATAGACTTCCTGTGAAGAGGCACAGATTTTCTACAGCAAATTTTCATTTAAAACTTTGCAAAAAGTCTCGAGTTGCCAACGTCAGCAGAAGAAAATAAGAGCGCTTTCAGTTTCTGAGAATCAACACACTATTTAACAAATACGTGACAAACTACAACATTTTTCCCAGTTCCTTAAAGCCCACATCTCAAAAGTAGGGACATAATCTACTTTCCACATCTGTAAAATAAGTCTTTTTGCAAGCATCATACAGAGTGAAATGGCCTGTGTTTGATACTTACTACAAAAAGCATTCTCTGCTCCTAAAAGTCCAATGCAAGGCTCAAGCTCCAGATCAATAATTTCTTCAGAAAGAAATTTAAATACAAATTTCCAAAATTGCTGAATTTTACTATGACCAAAAAGAATGAAACATGGTTGCTTCTGACACTTTACAGTTGTCACAGTGTGGAGAAATCGTGGGATAAATTTAATGAAGTTTTTGATTTAGAAAAATGAAGCCTGTGAATTACATTGAACTGAATCAAATTGTGTCTAGCATTCACAGAACATGTATGTACATCTCTCAAGCACTCATCCCACATGTTTTCATGAATATTAAAACCAATTTCCTCTTCCCAGTCCTGTTTTATTTTTCCTGTGTTGTTGTCCACCTTTTCTAGGAGTAATTTGTAAAAGTTTGACACACCACTCACACCAGTGTGTACATTAGGTGGGATTCAAAACTTCAAAATCTGCAATGTGCTTCCTAACAAAGTCTCTAACTTGCAAAGATCGGGAAAATGTGCAGAAAAAAGAGCATAGTATTGTTTTAGCTGTTCAAAAGAGCTAAATGCACCTTCCCTAAAGATCCTGAATAGTTACTATCCGATATGTTTCCATTGGGGGGGGGGGGGGGCTTACCGTGTAACCCCAGAGGAAAAGCATGATTATTACAGTATCCAGATATATGAAATTTTAAAATATACCTTATTTTGTATCCACACTTTAATTAAATTAGAAATAACTATGTTTCCATTGATATTTTTGACATCAATTTTAATGGGACTTTTAAGCAGAGCCGTTAATGAAGTCTTATCACAAGAAGCTTCCATTGCTAACCATTCTGCAACCAACTCCACTGAAGTGATATTTCTCCCCCACGCTAAAGTACTTAAATTAGCTGCATTAGCTGCCCAATAATAATAATAATAAAATTTTAATTAATACAGACTGACATGCTTTTCTCTCAGATTCCCTGGAACTGCATTGTGTGTTTCTACACTGAGTCCTCTGTGCCTCTAGTATCCATACTTGGGTCATAATCAAGAATGTGTCTGGGACTCTGGGCCCTTTCATGTCCCCTAAACTGAAGAGTGATGAAACATTCCAAACAAACTAAAATTCCAAATTAATGCAGAACTATTTGAAAACAATTTTATCCAGTTCTAAGATATTTGTCATTAGTTACGTTGGCGTTTGAAGTCTGTGCACATAGGTCAAAATAAGTCTATTTTTACATTAGTGTCAAGTCAGCTTAAGACTCACACTCAGGACCTTCGGGTCAAAAATGACCCGGAGGGCGGCATTAAGATACATTTTATTTGAGTAAAATCAATTAAATATATTTTTGTTCAATAATATTTTTTCTTTTCTTTTTTGGTGTTTTGAGATAATTTTATGATTTATAATTAATATTTATGCAATAATTAAGACCCATTTTTTCCCATTGAACATAATAGAACATTTATATATATATATAATTTAAAAAAAATTATTAAAGCTGTATTTCATTTTAGAGTCAAGTCTAGGCCTCATGAAAGCAATTTTTGAAATGAGATCGGAGCCATCTGGTGGACACACTGAGCATTTTTATCACGCAATAGCACATTTTTACCACTAGTGGATTTACAGCTCTCTGTAGAAACCTATGGTAGAAACACTCTAGTGATTTTTTCACATATTGTTTAATTTTTTTCAGGTTGTTGATTTGAATATATAATAACAGATTCTCAAAGACTATTTTTGTCATTTTTTTTAATTAAAAAAAATAATAATTTGGTTGGTTTAAATGGTAATTTGAAGTGGCAGTTTTACTTTATAATACAGTCAAACCTGAACATTGCATTATAAAGAGAACAAATGGAAAATATTTTGTCACCCATTGTTTTAAGAGATTCACCCCTTCACTGTTGTGTGCTTTTTTTCTGCATCTTGGCTGTTTTGTAGATTGTATGCACAAAAAAACTCTGTATTTTCACATTTTTGCCAATTTCCCATTCATTTCCTATGGGGGTCATTTTTGACCCAAAGGTCCTGAGTGTGACTATTTTGTTTTAAGACCACTTAGACTTTTCAAATCCTGTCCCCAATTTTTTTGGGTGTTCATATACCAAGTACCAAAAAAGTCACCAAGTTTCGGACCATTCCGATGAAGCTACAATTTTTAACATTTTTTTTAAAAACGCTTCTGGACATTTTTGTCCCGAAGTACCCCAGAGGGTTAAACAATACAGATTGTTTCAAAGCAGCTTCACAGAGATAAACAATCAAAATAAAATAAAAGTAAATGGAATACTATATATATATTGTCTTGACAGTTAATTTATTCAATTGACATTTACTTGTATAGCGCTTTTCACAATACATATAGTTTCAAAGCAGCTTTACAGAAAATGCATGTGTCTAAATTACAATTTAGAGTGATGTGTTATCAGAGGTGACTGCTAACTTATGTATTTCAGAAATGTGCATATACAAATCACTCAGTTAGCTAACAGTGTATTCATTTAAGACAGAAACAATGAGATAATTGAAGTAATTATTACAAGCTGTGAACATAATGATTACAATATATAGAAAAAGTAGCATTGGTTTATGTTGATTCAGAGTTTGCATCATCTGAGGTCCTCGCTGGAGTTGGAGTCTCAAAGCATTTCTCCACAGGTGTTGGGCATCTGAAGTCTTCATAAGAGGCTGGATCCAAACTGGAGCTGACAAACTCCCTGGTTACTTTAGGATGGGCATCCCGAGATAAAACAGAGAAGCAAATGGAGAGTAACTAGCCTAGCTGCTGTTCAGAACATTAAGCAAAGATAATCATGTGCATTTGATCTGATATAACTGGAGTACAAGGTTTTGAGATCCATTATGTGAATGCTTGGCTAAAGAGATGCGTCTTTAATCTAGATTTAAACCAGGAGAGTGAGTCTGAGCCCCGAACAATATCAGGAAGGCGATTCCAGAGTTTAGGAGCCAAGTGTGAAAACACTCTCCCTCCTTTAGTGGACTTAGATATCCTAGGTACTACCAGACACCCCAAGATTTGTGATCTTAAAGAGCGTGATGGATTGCAGGGCGTTAGAAGATCGGTTAAATACACAGGAGCTGAACCGTTTAGGACCTTATAGGTCAGTGGCAATACTTTATAATCGATACAGAACTTAATAGGTAACCAGTGTAGAGATGTCTTGACCTGGTAAGAACTCTAGCAGCTGCATTTTAGTCTAATTGTAGAGTGTTTATTGAGGATTACCAGCTGGTAATGCATTACAGTAATCTAGTCTAGAGGTCATGAATGCATGAACTAACTTTTCTGCATCACATGATTAGCGATGTTTCTAATGAGGAAGACATTGAAAAATCATATCAGAAATATGATTTTCAAAAGACAAGTTGCTGTCAAATATAACACCCAGGTCTTTTACTGTGGTAGAGCAATTATTTCTTATGGTGTGTATAAGTGTGTTATGTATTGGTCTGTGTGCAGGTAAGATTGAGAAGGTTCGTCCGGTTCCTCCAGCGTCGCCGTGCCCTTCAGAAGGAGCTCTGCCCTCGCCTCTGTCTGATCTGGGCAGCGACGACTCTGGAGGAGGACAGCGGACCAAGAACTTCATGCAGACTCTGATGGAGGACTTCGAGACACACAAGGTCAAGCGCAGAGAGAAAGCTGAGGACAGCAGTGTAAGCTCTTTTATGGCCTAATGAATTGTCTGGGGATTCCTCTTGCACTAAATCTCTCAGACATCCATCCATCCGCACACCATTTACAATCAAACCGTTGAATTTCACTTTAATGGCCTGTTTGGAATTAGTGATTCCTAACTGCTAAAATACCATAGCAATGACTTGCATCAGAAACATAGTTCGTCTTTTTTTATCTCATGCCAAGAAAGTGAGGAAAGGGACTTTCCAGCTCATTTAGAAACTGAATTCATAAAGATGTGTGACACATGACAAAATGCCTATTGAGGACTCGCTGTTTCATATCAACCACTGTCTTTCCCCTTTTGCTTTCTCAGATATCAACAACACATTTCCTCTAAAAGCTATTATTTGGAGAACAAACAACTAAGTGCGGGTCTTTTGCAACTTGGCTGCGCTGACAGTATCACATTCTATTATTATAATGCAGACTAATTCAAACACAATGGCTTTGGAACCGCAGTAGTGGCAACAATATTGGTCTCTGACCGTTGTGAAATAAATCCATGACAATGGTGCCAAGTAAAATAGTTTGCCAAGTAAAATAGCCAAATATTTATAAATTGGATATTTCCTCCTTCCTTACAAATTACATATAACACAATACTAATCCATGCTTATTTTAGCTTAGGGAAGGGTGTAACCAAATATTTGAGGTTGGGGTGGATCAAATATATTAAGCTTCAGAATGCGCCATTGACAAAAAAAAAAATCAAAATATTAAAATTGGTTAACCACAAATCTAAATATAGGAATACATGTGTCAATTGTAGTGATGGCCCTAAACTCAGGAAACAAACACCTGTAATGGTCAATAAATGAAATATATATATATATTTAGTTCATGCTCTTTGAAAAATAACCGTTATTTCAAGTGCAATCATTAGCTTTGCAATTAGCACACAGTATTGAGCCAATATGATCTGTATATAAAAAGTAAACTATATGACCATGACCAGTAAGTTGATCTACTTTCACAAGCTGTTCTCTACACAATAGCAAGTGTTTGCATATTGACTAATTCTTCCTCTTTCCCTCTCGTCAGTATGTCCGCTCAGTTACAACTGAGGTACTTGTACAATGCTTGCTTCAAAGTTCATTGTGCCTTCATTTGTGTTGTTGCATGTTTCAATGTGGGGGAGTTGTAGCAGTGCCGAATACTTTGACACATATAACGTGTTTCCAAGAAATAATTGTCTTTTGTGTCGAATCATTGCGTCATTCATTACATATGGATCCACAGTTTAAACTAGTCAAAGTATTTGCACCTACATGATCAGTGCAGTGCCACTATCAATTCACATGAATCTCGTGTCAAAGAACTACGAACTTACCATGTCCAGTCTTCATTTGAGCATTTTACCACCCTCCATCCTAATATTTCAGCTCTTTGTATTGTATATTTGAAATAATATTCAAGTTATTTGAGAACTTCGGATTGGACATTTAGGTTCGTTGGAATAAGACACAACGGGTGTAACACTTGGCACCAGTTTTTACTTTTGAAACAGCATGACTGTTCTCTTTTCTGCTTTATTGTTTCTGCTTTCATGCTGTGTTTGCACTTGTATTGTGTGTTGTGGTGTTTATATCTAAAGCTGTTTTGGACAGTCCGACCCAAACCCAGCATGAAACTGAACAGGTGGGGTCTAAAGCGGTCTATCTGATGTGTATGATTGCACATGCGTATTGATATTTTTTTGTTAAAGCTCTTAACTAAATCATTGATATTGGCTTTACTCCTTTTTTTGTTCTCAGTGTAAATAACGTAGCCTGCTTATCTAACAGGGTATAGTGTGGTAAAGTTAAACTCGTATCTCCCAGCCATTCTACAACATACTTTAAAATTTAGAGCTCAGATCACATATTTTCTGAGAAAAATCATGATTCAAGTTATATAGATAAAACTGTCAGACTTTATATTAGGTGTCATTAACTACAATGTACTTACATCGGGGGTAAAAATCTATGTTTTTGGTGCAATGTACTTATTGTGTTGATGTATTGCAAACACTTTTGCTGCTATTGAGTTGTACGTGTAAGATTAAGGATAGGTTTGGTGGTGTGGGTTAAGGTGTAAGGGAAGCTCAACCGTGTAATTATAGATGCAAGTGCATGATGGTATTTTTAAATACAAGCACAGTGTAAAATCATGTATGTATACAAGAGCATTGTATCAAATGATTCATTTAAATGTAGGTACATAGTAGTTAAAGACACTCAATATAAAGTGGGACTGATAAAACAACATTATGAGTCAACATCAGTTTATATTGATGTTATGTTCCCTTGTTTTTTGTAATTGAAATCGGTTACACTTTATTTAGATGGTTAGACATTCTACTAACTATAAGTAACTTTGCAACAGAGTATTAGTAGACTGTTAGGGTTAGTAGAGTAAGTTGACATGTAGTTGCAAAGTAACTTATAGTCAGTATAATGTCAGTTGAGGAGCATCACAATAAAGAGTTAGCAGATATTAAGCACAGTCTACTAATACTCTAATGAGAGTCAGGCCCTCTTTACAGCTGGTATTGAGATGCGATTTGGTCGATCGGATCACTGGTCGTAAACAGGGTCCACTTTTGACCACTTCCAGATAGGGTTGCCAACCGTTCCGTATAATACGGAATCATTCCGTATTTGACACATAAAAGGCTTGTTCCGTATTGAACTGATACGGAACGCACTTTGTTCCGTATTTTTGAGAATCAATTCAGTGCAAATCCATGACAGACGCATAGCTTCTAATATATATGTCAGACAGACTATGATGAATGAACGAAGACCCGCTGCTATAATGGCAAATTCGGGGACTTGGCGCCACCTTGACGGGCTCTGACGTGTAATGACGTAGAGTTGGCTCATTGGTCGCACGTCAGAGGCGCCCGCGCCATTGGATGTGCAGTTGCCGCAGCACAGCCTATGAGCGAGCCAGACGCTCAATGTGCAAGCTGTGCAGCTGCAAATGCATTTTACAGGCTTCAGTAAATCAAGTAAAATGTGTTTCCGAAGACATTTGTAGGCTATGATAAGAAAAACTACTAAAAAATTTGGAGAAAAAAAATTTTGCACCGGAAAGAACATTCTAGAAGTCTAATTCTATTGAATAAGTTCGCACAAGGCTACAGAAAACTGTTGTGTTTATTTTTCTTCAAATGCAGTCTAAGCCGATGAGTTTCGAATGTTATATGTTGTATTTGTTTAAGTTAAAAATAAAACGTATTATAATCTAAACAAATACATGGTTCATTTTTGGCAAAATGATCATGATAGCCTTTATATATCTGTGTGGTTAAATCTTGTATATTGATTAAGCCTACTTTGCTATTCTATAAATATATAGGCCTAATAAGTTGCATTATAATATGATATAAAATATATGAATTTCAGCGGGCATGTCACTACCACATACCATAACCCCCCCCCCCCCCCCCGTTTCTTATTTCCATTTCAGAAAGTTGGCAACCCTACTTCCAGAGGTAGTCGAAAACGCATTTGACCGGATTTCTTTCATAGTGTAGACATTCGTGTGATCGAATGTGTTCAAACAGCCACTAAAGACCGTCTTCTCTCCGGCTACTGGCCTAATGCGTTAACACTATGGGAAGAGCGCTAGCCAGACGGGACTTTGTCGGCTGAAGACCCAAGTTTGGTTTGAAGATGAAAAACGTACCAAGCACAATGTTCTCGCTGTCAGAGCAGAATCTAAAGCTGATGCTCTCCGTGTGTTTCTCTCTCGTCTCCGGTCGCGTTCATATGTAAATCGCGCGAGATTATTTTGTCCATTAGATCGAAAGATCTGGAAAAGACCCGCCCAGAAGAAATCAGGACAGAAGTGGTTGAAAGTGGACAAAAGAGACGGATTAAAACACCAGGTGTAAAAGGGAACGTGTCTCCCTCGTCCACTTGTGATCCGATCGACCAAAACGTATCTTAACACCAGGTGTAAACAGGGCCTTAGTTGACATGTAGTTGCAAAGACACTTATAGTTAGAAGAATGTGTCTAAACTTCTTCTTAACATGCTTTCTATTATCACTGTGGTGAATATATCATTATAACATTTGAAACGACTTTGAATAACAGCCATTGTTATGTTAATCTTCAGGTTCTGGAGGCAACGCGTGTCACTCGCAGGAAAAGTAACATGGCCCTCCGGTGGGAAGCAGGAATCTACGCCAACCAGGATGAGGCTGAGGAAGATGAGGAGGAGGAGGAGGAGGAAGAGGAGGAAGAGTAAACTAAAACTTATTTCTATACCGAGAAAGAAAGAAAAAAACGAGAAAGAGAGAAAACAGAGGGAAAATGTGCAACGGGACAAACACAAGTATTTATTGGGAATTCACCCCTCTCTGAAGATTTGTTCTTTCTGTTTCTGGAGAACAAACGGGACATAACTTTCTCTCGACAGTGAAGACCAGAGATAACACTTTACATTTCCACTACCAAGATATAGCTTTTTCTTTTGTGCTGATACGTTTTAAGAAAGTGGAATGTGCAAAGACAAGGATCACATTTTTTAAGACTTTGGGGTTTTTGGCATTAATGTTGCAACTTAGCAAATCAGATTAGTGTGAAGACCACGTTGCATTTATACTTCCCAAACATAAAGATGTTACCGTATAGTTAAAGACTATTGGATAATATTTTGTTATTAGTTGAAGGAGATTGGATTAATCTGATTTCATGCTAGATTATTGACATTTCAACTTTACACAATGTGTCTTGCAGTGTCCGAAAGGGCAAAATACTGCTATTTGGTTTCCTGTTAATTATTTTCACATGATCTCGATTGCAGAGATAGGAACTCATTCTCCTAATATTGCCATATTGTTCAGAGAGAAACTTTAATGAGGTGGACAAATGAAAGTAGGGCTCAGACATGTAACCTTGAAAGACTTGAGAGCAAATCTTCACCCAGACCAACATAACAATACATCGAAGTGGTAATAACTTGCAGAGGAGGTCATGGCTTTTTAAAGGCAGCGGATGAATTCTCCATTGACAAAAGACAGGATATGTATGTGAAATGAAGCTTTAGGACGTTATTGCTGTTTGCAGTTGAAGGCACCGGTGTTTGGCTTGAAGTTATAGCATCAGACATGGTGTGGTACAGAACATTTAATGGATGATGTCGATTTTTTTGGGAATGTTTATGTTGTGTTGTGTTGTGTTGTGTTGTGTGTAGGGCAGAACAGCAAAAGCAGTGCCTTTAAAGTGCCCCTGTTGTGTTCTTTTAAAGGTTCTTAGTCTTGTTTTGGACGTCTCCTACAACAGGTTTACATGCATCCAAGGTCAAAAACACTTTAATCTTTCATTTTCTCATAATATACATTTCAGTACCAGCTCTTTTTTCACAATGTCTGCAATGGTTCGATAAAGGATTCAGTCTCTTTAAACCTCTCCTTTCTAAGAGTCTACTCTGCTCTGATTGGTCAGATGGCCCAGTCTGTTGTGATTGGTCTACTCTGCTCTGATTGGTCAGATGACCCAGTCTGCTGTGATTGGTCTACTCTGCTCTGATTGGTCAGATGGCCCAGTCTGTTGTGATTGGTCTACTCTGCTCTGATTGGTCAGATGACCCAGTCTGCTGTGATTGGTCTACTCTGCTCTGATTGGTCAGACGGCCCAGTCTGTTGTGATTGGTCTACTCTGCTCTGATTGGTCAGATGACCCAGTCTGCTGTGATTGGTCTACTCTGCTCTGATTGGTCAGATGGCCCAGTCTGTTGTGATTGGTCTACTCTGCTCTGATTGGTCAGATGACCCAGTCTGCTGTGATTGGTCTACTCTGCTCTGATTGGTCAGACGGCCCAGTCTGTTGTGATTGGTCTACTCTGCTCTGATTGGTCAGATGGCCCAGTCTGTTGTGATTGGTCTACTCTGCTCTGATTGGTCAGATGACCCAATCTGTTGTGATTGGTCGACAGCTTACAGCACTTGTCGGAAACCAAACATTCATTATCATATCTGAACTACAGTGTTTGAAGGTCAAAGTAGATGTTGTTCACGTTCAGCCAATGAAGAGCATAGCCTGGCATTATGCAAATATGTTCGAGCAGGAAGTAAGTCTAGAATTACTGACGACTCGTTTCAGGCTGTTCAGAATCACTTCTTTCTTTTGGGAGACAATAACTATTGATCTGCACTTTGATCTTTGAAACTTTGTAGACCTTTTACATTCACAAACAGCTATATTACACACCACATGAAAGAAGCATAAAAAAGCATAATAGGGGCACTGTAATGCAAAAATGAAGAAAAGAACAATGAATGATAAACATAGCTTATATATGCAAGACTTCACTGTGCTTAATTGCTTAGTTGATTCTTAAATTAATCATAATTTCTCTTTTTGGCATTTTTAAAGCCATTACCAGCAGAAATTGTAAACACAATACCATTATTTAACACAGTTAAAAACAAATATTGATACAAATGTACAAATTAATGTCTGAAATGTTGGAATGATTTTTTTTATTGTTTTTAAAAACATTTGGCAATATAAAGGATGTTAGGTGCCAGAACAAGCATCTATAGGCCTACAGGTCACTGACATCAGTGATGGACATGCAGCGTGAAGGAAACAACGAGGACTCAAACATGGACAATTACTCTTCTAGAAATAATCTTTGACTTCTAATTTTTGCCTTCGGCCTGATGCATTTATCAAGCCATAAATGAAGACAATCCCACAAGCATCATTCAACAACGTGGCTTTGATGTTTTGTGTACTCCACATATAATATATAGCATCACAAAGAAAAAAAGTATTTAATGTACTGCTGTCCTTTAATGAGTACATGAAGTATGTGTAGTCTCTGGTTAAGAGTGGTATCTAATACATAGTTTCTCAAATTGCAGGCAAAAAAAGACAAACTAGAAACTCTATAACAGTAATGCATTATTATAATGTGTGGGTGTCATATAAAGTTACACCTATTCAGAGTTATAAATGTTTCTGCGGAAGGTGCATCAACTTTATTTAATGGATGAAAACAGATCTGTCGATCTCTGGATACTGACTTTCTAAGGTGTCCGTTTGTTTCGATGCTTAATGTGAGATTGTGTGACGGCCATCAGTTTTACTCAGAGCCGGATGTTGGATTTTTACTTGGATTCTTTGATATGAGATGATTATTGTTGGTGAACAAATAATTTGAATTTTATAAGGGGGAAATATTTTTATTTGAGCAGTGAGATATATGCAGTGTTCCTATAAATGGAAAATAGTTTTGGAAAAAATGACTGATGTTTAGTACTATTACTGCACATTTATTCATATATACTGTGTTGTGTGTATTTGAGGGCCAAGTATGCCATATGATATTATTATATGCATTTTCAGAGGTTTTCATTAGTTTGTTTAGTAGGGGACATTTCTAGCACAGAGTAGGCCTAGTTCAAGTATTGACCGTGATGCTGGCAGGTTTTGCATCACGAAATGTGCAGCATTCATATGAAATGTAAAGCCAGCTTTAGTTCACTAAAGATGACATGCTTTTGTACTATAATGTTTGCGAAATGGACAAAAATGGTTGTTTTACCTCATGAAGTTAAGTTATAAGAAACAAGCCAATGTTCAAATCTGTAATATAATAGGATTCCTACGGCATAGGATGGTGGCCAAAATTGCTTTCAATGTACAATACCAGAGGAAAAAGAAACCATTAGAAATTGAGCAATGTTGCAGTTGTTGATGTGTAAAGCCTCAGCCTTTGAGGACATCTGGGGAAAGCATTGCGATCATACTAGCGAAATTTCGGCAGAAATTGTCGATTGTTTATTGTCAATGGTGTAGTGATATATAAAGCACAGCTCACACAGAAGTCACTTTCAAACTAAGCCCATTTCTGTTGGTAAATGCGGTGAATTTGTGACCAGTTTTATTCAAATTCTTATTGAAATGACTGGATTTAATCCACACCTTTACCGTTGTTCAGCGAAATTTCCAAAAGTAGATACGGTTTCCCGTAAGATCGAGAAACCGTAACTATTTCACGGGGTGGGCGTTACGTGTGAATTTGTACGTTTTGGATCGTACAAAAAAAAGTATGATTTTTAAAGGAAACTCATTATGAAGGACCAGCCATAACCCCGCCCCTAAACTTAACCGTCATTGGGGTTTAAATATCGTACGAATTAGCCACCAATCACGTAAAATAGATATGAATTTGTGAAATTGTGTCATGTCAGATATAGCCTACAGTCATTTGAATAGGAATAGATCGTGTGGAAGCTTGTTTCAGTTACCGAATAATAATGTCGCGACTTTTTATTCTCAGAATTGTGAGAATGACTCGCTATTGCCTGAAAAAATGTCAAGAATTGTGTTTTTTTTCTCAGAATTGTGACTTTATATCTCGCAGTTCGAACTTTATAACTTGTAATTGTGAGTTTATATTACGATTCTGAGGAAAAACGTCAGAATTGCAAGATAGAAATTTGCATGTGTGAGGAAAATACGCCAGAATTGACTTTTTCTCAGAATTGCGACTATTTCTCAGAATTGTAACTTTATAGCTCACAGTTCAGTTCAGTTTTTTTTCTCAGAATTGCGAGATATGAACACGCAATTGCGAGTTATAAAGTCCGAAATACCAGATAGCCTATAAACTCGCAATTCTGAGAAGAAGGAAAAAAAATCTGAATTGCGAAATTGTGAGTAAAAAAAAAATGGAATTGTGAGATAACATGTTATTACCGCAATTAGGCTACTTTGTTTTTTTTTTATTGTGTGGCAAAAAAAGGACGAAAAATTTCCACATTCAGATTTTAGTCGCTTTTGAGTTATGCAAATTCACTGTATTGAGCAACAGTAACTTCTGTGTGAGCGAGTGCTTTGTGCATTACCTTTTAGCTCATGAAATTTCTTCTTTTTTTTTTATCGCTAATGTGACCGCAAATGTGTTCAACTACAAACATGCCTTCTTTAGATTTCTAGTCAAGCGTTTGCCAGTGTCCGTGTGCATGACAATTACTGCGTCTGTTGCAATAGATTTTTAGTTTCATTGTCTGTTTCACAAAATAGTCTGTTCTTAAAAAAAAAAAAAAAATTGCCTTAAATGAAATCACAAGTATTGCTTTTTCCCCCACAGTTTGAACCAAGTAAACAGTGTTTGTTTTTGTTGTTTTTTTACTTTTGAAGTAACACCAAAAATATGTTTGCTCTTGTTGTTTAAATAGTTAGTTTTTATTACAAATACATTTGCAATTGCTTTCTTAAAAGGTTTAATGAGTGTTCTAGTTCCCTTCGGGAGAAACCAAGGGAATATTGATACGGTGTGATAATGCAAACCCCTCTTTTGACATGTTAACCACTTATTGTATGTTAATATTCTGCTTATATTGTTTTATAGTAATTGTAAGTCTCACTCTTACACACATATATAATTATTTTCTCATTAAAAAGAAAATGTGTAAAATGTCTCTATTCTTTTCCTTGACTCCATCTAAATGTATCAAAATCTGTGAAAATGTAATAGCATAAGAAGAAGCTGTAACCATTTATATTCTATTATGAGATTCATAAAGAGCAGGTGATTTCTGTTCTTGTATGTATGTCCACATACACAATCAAAATCTGTGAGAAGGTGAGCATATGGTATAAAAGGCAATATTTTGGGGTTTTAAAGTAAAAAACTTAAATTTTCAATTTGTATTTTTTCCTCACACAAAACTAGTGTATGACTTCAGAAGACATGCACTTTGACTATACACATGTGTCATGGACAATTATGGAGATTTTATGTTGCATTTTGTCCAACTTTAAGCTTAACTTTTAAAAAAGAGCAGCACCAACATTCTTCAGAATAATAGCCAATAGTATCTTCATGTGTCGTAGATTATGACTGACTATTATTATTTGTTATTACTAGGAGGGCTATCTCTTTAAGAAAAAAGTTCCTCGTGACATGAAATGAGTTCACATTGATTGACTAATCCTACTTGAGATCTTGTTTGACTGGTTCACACAAACCCAAACAGGTATTTCATCATTCATTTGGTGATTTATCTTTCTACAAATGTTCTCCTTTTTTGGCTTTTTAAGAAGCAAATATAAGCAGGCTAACGTTTTTATAAAACACATATTCAAGTCCTCATTAATTGGACAGTAAATGTCGTATTGTGTGGTTGAAACATGACTAACCACTGAAAGTATTTCAGTGTGCAACTTCCCTATAGCAGAATGACGCGATGAGCTTCACCCGGAGAGTTTGAGCTCTTGTAGTGTATCGACTCTGATCAACACGTTTTTGTTCGTTTTTATTATTTTCGTCAACTTCAGGATGTCCTTTCGTAAATACATCGCGCCTCTAGTATTCTGTGCCCAAGTGGCCAGCTCGTTTTTTGACACCGCTCTCCAAATGGTCGTTAAAGAGCGATGCGCAAACGCCACGGACCGGGACAGCGAGCAGAAAGCGATTACCAACTTCAACATGACCTTTAATATGCTCCTCAAGTTCATGCCCATCGTGCCAGCGATCATTCTGGCAAAGATTGGAGACAAAGGTTACAGGAAAGTGCCAATAGCTGTTCCTCTGGTGGGTTACCTCGTGTCCAGGGCTTTGCTCCTGCTGGACATCGCGCTGGGATGGCCTCTCCAGGTGTTGTACGCGGTGCCGGTGATCCACGGGCTGTGCGGCGGGTTCGCGTCCTACTGGGCCGGAGTCATGGCGCTGGTGTCGGTGAGCTCGGGGGAGGAGGACCGGTCCGTGCGCATCATGAGGACCGAGCTGGTGTACGGGATCGCCGGTTTCATTGGCAGTCTGGCCTCTGGTCACTTATTTAACCTCTATAGTGTAGATCTCAAACAAGGAGTTATCTTATCTGGTTTGAGTGTGCTGCTGTATTTAATCTGCATGCTCTATGCGACATTCATCCTGCGGGTCGATCTTGCCTCAGAGAGGCAGGAGCGACGGGAAAGTTTTGGGATCTTAAACCAGGAAGCCCGTGATAAAATAAACATCGCCTTGCTGTTCGCCGGTGGGATCTTGTATGATATCGCAGTGGCGGGGGGGATGGAGATGCTGGCCGCGTATGTGCTGAAGGAGCCGCTGAACTGGGGCGCGACTGAGGTGGGCTATGGGAACGCGGCTGGGTCCCTGCTCTTCATCACCAGCTTTGTGGGTGTAAAGATGTTCACAAGATGTTCTGTTAAAGATGAAAGCATGATCATGGTCGGGATGGTGTCTTTCGCAGTTGGGATTTATTTCATGGCATTTGTGACCACAACTCCAATGTACTTTTTGGGTAAGTTATACAGCCTAACATAGGTCTACTTGAGCTTCGGTACACTGTAAAAAAAGTGTTCAGTTCACTTAATTAATCATTTTAAGGCAACGCCAACGGGTTTACCTAGGTTACTAAAAAATGTTTTTAAGTATAAACTTAATGCTTAATTGGAAAAAATAAGTTATGTGAACTTGCAATTCCACATTACTTATTTTTTTCGATTAATCATGAAGTTTATTTACTTAAAAAAATTGAGGAAACCAGTTGCCTTAAAATTATTACGTTATGTCAACTGACCACTTTTTAAGGTGTGTGCTAATATATTTGATCAAATACCATTAAATATAAAACTGTTTGGTCACACTTTAGATTAGGGGTCCAATTATCACTGTAAATTAATTATTAGCTATGGCTTTTGCCTCAAACTTTTAATTACTGCTTATTATTAATAGTTACTAAGGTAGTTGTTAAGTTTAGGTATTGCAAGGATGTAGAATATGGTCATGCAGAATAAGGCATTAATATGTGCTTTATAAGAACTAATAAACAGCCAATATCCTAGTATGCTAATGAGCAACTTGTTAATAGTGAGAATTAAACCCTAAACTTAAGTATTACCACTGTTTTATAAAAGTCTAAATATCAAACATTTTGGGTTACTTCAATAAAAGCAAAAAAGGCAATCATTAAGAGTCAGAAAAGGTAAATCTGGAAACAGTGCACATGCTCAGGTGTATTACATGTTTAATATAAAAAGCCACCAAAATCTTGTATTTTTCCTGACAACAAAGTATAAAGGCTTTATATAATAGATAAGCATTTTAAAACATAAAATGTAATCAGTAATAATGTATGCTACCTTAAATATGATTACATGAATCAAAGTTTCATGACATTTCTAACTATATTGACTAAAGATCTTTTGAGCATGATGTAATAATATTGTTAATAATGATATTATAAATGTTGCTGTCCCACTTTATATTGGTTTGGGGTATACGTGTATGGTTAGATTAAAGGGTCTGTTTAGTGTTGGGGTACGGTCTAGTTTAATAAACACATGTAATTACTTTAAATGTAAATACAATGTAACAACAGTTACCTAACAATACCTTAGTAACAAATATAGTCTATCAATTTTAGTTCGAGACATCTAATATAAATTGGGTCCAATGTTAGGTGTTGATTGTGTAAACCTTGTATACTAAATTGTTGAGTCTCTTACTACAGAGTAAATGTAAGTTTACTTACAACACAGCTAGAGTATTATTAAAGCACATTAACATGGTCCTAATACACAACATTATCAAAAGCACAAACTGGAATCCAATAATAATTCCTCAAAGGAAGAATTTAGAAGGAGGCTGCCATTAAGTGTAAAACTGCTCAAAAAAAAAAAATCGTTTTATTACAGTGACTTGGTATTGTCCTCTGATCTGAGGTTTTGTTCTTGTCTTCTTTAGCTCGCTCTGTCACTCTGTTCGCTCTGATCCCAATGCCCACCATTCGCTCACTGCTCTCCAAACAGGTCCAGGGAAGCTCATACGGTAGGTCTCCGTTCTTTATTCTCTCAGTAAGAGTTGTGTGTCTGCATAAGGTGCTGCCAAAGACACACTTTATGGAACACCAAACTTTTCTAAATTGTAAACTCACACCTCAATGTACCCATGTCACATTTTAAATGTTTGTTCATGTAGCTGTGCCGTGAGGCCTTTCTGATCTAATGTGTTCAGAAAAGGAAGTGAAAATAAAACAGCCAAAAACAGAGAAGTGAAACTGTGTCACTGTATTCACAGGTGGAGGCCACACGAATATTTGTAATTCTTTGTGGTAACAATAAGTAGCTTTACAGGCAAGGGTAAAGTGTTTACTTCTGTCCTGGTTGTTTTCTGGTGGTCATTGAGATGTTGTCAGTGTTCTGACTGACCCAGCTGGTGTTAGTATTATAATTGATTACAGTTGCACACACAATTGATAGTTTGAGGTAAATTAATAAGCTGGCTGAGGCGACAAGGAGTCCTGTCTTTGGCAGGTTGAGCTAGAGTTTGATAGATCAGTACAGTAGGGGGCCAAGCACCGAACCCTGAGGCACTCCAGTGGTAAGCTAATGGGATAATGATGATTTACTCAAAGCACTTGAAACACCACAGGCTACTGGTAAAAGGCATGGTGTAAATGTAATGAAAACTCAGCCCAAACATGTATGACACCTTTTACTAACCAAAGGCAAAATGTTTTGTAACCAATGTTAGAAAAAAAGTGGGCCTCGCAACTCAGCTTTATAAACGCAGGCTAATTAATGCCATTAATGTATAAAAACAGAACCAGTCAACGTCCAAATCCTACACTTGAGAATCGCAAGTGGCAAGAATTGCTTCGGTTTTCAAATAAGTCAAGTCAAGTCAAGTCACCTTTATTTATATAGCGCTTTTTACAATACAGATTGTATCAAAGCGCTTCACAGTGATAACATGAAAACAATATAACAAAGTTTGTTTCTAAAAGAAATTGCGTCAACGTCCACCTTAAGTAAGGCAGATCAATAATATTATTGAATATTAAATGTCCCCAACTAAGCAAGCCAAAAGCCAAGGCAACAGTGGCAAGGAACCAAAACTCCATCAGGTGACAGAATGGAGAAAAAAACCTTGGGAGAAACCAGACTCAGTCGGAGGGCCAGTTCTCCTCTGGCCAACGAAGGAACAGTGCATGATTCGGGCAGCATTACAAGTCAGATTGGATCGGAACATTTAGAGTATTTTTTGGAAGTCCAAGTATGCACGCCGGTCTTAAGACGAGTTGTTGAGGATCAGTGCCGTCCACCATAGAGAGTCCATATCGCCCGTGTTGAGTCGTCACTTCATAGGCTTTGTGATTGGAGCATAACTGCAGTACTCCAACTCTTTGCACACAGAAAAGAGTGATCTCTCCTCAGACCCTGACGTGGCACTAAGCACTTTTCCACATCAAAGACATGAACGTTGGCATGGTTTTTAACGTACACACACACTAAGATCAAATCTGTGCGCACGCACATTTTATAAATGTGACGTAAAAAAGCCTTGTTTGCTGAAATCATGTTACTTGATGAGTTTTGATAGTCAAACCACTGATTGGAATGCAAAAAACACTTCGTAAATGGTTATCTCTATGTCAAAATACAGTTAGTTCATTAAGATTAACTGTTCAATTGTTCTCATCATACCGTTCAAATCCCATCAGCTAACTACTGTATATAGGAGTGCCTCAGGGCTCAGTGCTCGGCCCCCTACTCTTCTGATATCTCATACCCACAGACCTCACCAGCCCTGTTGGCAGCGAACCTGTGTAACTGATATGTAGAAGAGATTAAAATAAAGCTATAGTTATAGTGGTGATGGGATGCCAAGCTGAACGAGCTCCTCTCAAACTTTGGTTTGGAAATCCACAGCTTAGTGAAATTGGTAAATGGTCATTTTCACGAATAGTTGCTTTTCGTCCCACAGGCATAACCTTTGTCATGCTCCAGTTGTCCTTCAAACTAGCAAGCTTGGTCACCACACCCATCTACACTAAGATCTACCAGGCCACACTTGACACCTTCCCAGGGTTTGTCTTCATGCTGTCCAGCATCTTCACTGTTCTTTCTATGATACCCATTAGGTAAGCTGACTTTTTTGTGTCACCCTTTTATATAACATTTAATTCATCATTGAATTCTGATTATAGTTCGGAGAATAGTAAACATTTGTATTGTTTTTTTTTATGCCAAGTATTGTAGGATGTCGCTCTGCAAAACATGGATATGAGATCATTCAAGGGAACTGACAGCATTCATCCCCGTCAAAGGAGAGACTAAGTCTCTCTCAGAAATGGACAAGTTATCAAGATATGTATATTTGCACAGTAAATAATTTGTAGGTTTACACTTTACACAGAAAATATCTGCTTTTTTTATCATTCAGCTGACTAGAAGTCAGTTTGAATAGATCATTTAATAGATATTATTATCTGCTGGAATAGATAATGTTACTTCCTGTTGCACTGTGGTTATACTTTGCATTTGTGGTAATGCAATCAGTGTAGCGTCATGTCGAACACATGACTAATAATACTGACAATATTTACTTTGTAGATATTTCAGAAACACTTAAGTTTCCAATTGTTAACATGAACACGAAAACATGAAAATGAGTTTACATGAAAAATTCTAAAGTTTATTCATCTTATTTAATGTTAATTTCAACATTTACTACATTATTAAAATCAAGAGTTCTATCTGTAAACATTTAATGGACCTGATCTAACATGAACTAACAATTAACAGCTGTATTTTTATTAACCAACATTAACAAAGATTAATAAATACTGTAACATTTGCACATACTCGTTGTTAGTTAATTAATGAACTAATGGGACCTTATTATAAATGCTTACCAATATTCCTGTACTGTATTGTCATTTTAAAATGGATGACATCTTTTATCAGATTTGTATTGAACAGTTTTTGCAATAAATCATTTTTATGTATTTCTGTGTATGATGTATGGATCCTATTAAATATATGCACTGTTTTACACAAAGTATCTGATGAGTATATTATGAATCATAATTCTTTAATGGCAGTTGACAGTTCTGCTTGTGCAAAGGCACAAAACACATTAAAGGAAAATAT